TCCCGTTCCTCCATTCCTTCTGCCTCGCACCTCTAGAGGGTGTCAAGTCACCTGACTGGCATCAGTCTTCATGTGACTAGCATCAGTTTTTCCCGCCCTTTGCCTGCCCCGGCCCCTCCCTCACACGAGTTTGCCTCAGCACGTGACAGTGCCCCCCACCCCCCACGCCAGCTCCCACCTCAGCGTGAGCAGCAGCGGGCGAGCAGCGGGCGGCAGCGTCCGTCCGGCTCTGCGGCAGGGGGGAGGAGGCTGTCAGGAGTTGGTGAGGGGTCCGGTGGGAACTGGGGAAGGCGGAGGGGGGCAGACCACGACCACGTCTACGTCGAGGGCTGCCAATAGTCCATAGCCTTCCTTTCTACCCGGCAACATCAGGGTGTGTCCACTCAGGACACCGCCATCATTGGGCATTCACCTCAGGGAACCCTGAGACTGGCCTACTTGGTCCAGGCCTGTGGAGGGGAGAGGACGCGGGAGATTTCTGAGAGGTTGCGGTGAGAGCAGAGGGTGAGCAGGGAAAGCATCCCCAAGGTAGAGGCTTACCTCGAAAATCCACCCCTGTTTCTTGTCACAATGGTAGCCGCAAAGGGTTAGCTACATGGTCACCTTCGCCCCTCCTCACCCCTCCTTTTTGTTCCAGGGGTCCCTTAGTCAGGTTTGTGGAAGGAAGAGGATGCTCGGGGTCTATTGTGAGGGGTCGAGTGACGGTTGGGTGGGGAGGACAAAGGAAACGCCGCGAAGGTACAACGTCCCCCCTTAAAATTCTCGTGTGGCCTCCTTGTTTTTACCTCAGCACTACTACGGGACATTGAGTCAGGAGAGGACCACCATCCTTCCCATCACCCCTCCCCCCATACACACACACACACACACACACACACACACCACTCGTTCTCCCTTGGGGATCCCCGGTATGTGAGGAAAGTGGTTCGACAGTCGTACCAGGTCAGAGTGACAGCTGAGGGACCCCAAACAATCCATTTCTGACCCTGTCGTCACCTTTGTGCCACATAGGGACATCAGGTGGGCATTCCCCCGCCCCCCCACAACTCCTTTAGTCTCTCGGAGCCCTGGGAGTCACACACTTGCTCTGATGTCGGAAAAAGACATGTTTTGGCTCTGTGAGCCATCTTGGTGAGAGTTAGGGAGGACAGAGGAAACACACCCAAGGTAGAGTTTCTCCCTCCCCTCCCCCCACATCCAGCCCTGTCTCCCTTTTTACCTTAGCACCACTACGGAGTACCATAGAGTTACAGCGCCATCACCCCTCCCCCACATTCCCTCACCCAACCCCCATTCCTGCTTGCGGGAACCCTGGGAATTAGACTTTTACTTGGACATTTATCAGGGAAAGGTTCAGACTCTGTGAGAAGTCCCGTGAGAGTGGGGGAAGATAGAGGATGTCCCCCAAGGGAACCCTGAGAGACCCTTGCTTGGAGGTCTCCTCAGGGAAATGGCCACTGGGAAGTCTGTGAGGACCACCTGAAAACTGGGAAATATTAGGACAAACCACCTACCACAAGCAGGGACCCCAGATAATCCAGATCTGCCTCTGTCAGCCTAGCACATATGGGCAGGAGATCATCAACATACCTCCTAGTCCACTCCCACACCCCTTCTTCAAATTCAGAGGAGCCTTGGAATCAGTACCCTCGACTGAGATCTAGCAGAGGAAAAGGCTGGGACTCTGAAAAGTATGGCTGTGAGAAAGGCAGGTAGACAGGCTGCACCCCTCACAGAGAGTGACTAAATAATCCAGTCGTACCTTGCTTTATTACCCTGGGAGTACACTGTGGTATCTAGTCAGGCAAGTGCCCCCATACCCTTTTACCCCTTTCTGCCTCAGGAAACCCTGGGAGTTGCAGCCTTGGTCAGAGGTTGGCGAAGCCAAGAAGTCCTGGCTCTTTGAGGTGTCCAGGTGAGAACTGAGAATGTACACAGAACCCCGCCCCCCACCATATAGAGTTTCTGAAAGTAATCCAACCTGCATCTGTTGTGATCCCTGCTCAGTCTTCAAATCAGAACAGTGATTGCAGGCCTCCCCCATCTCCTGCCTCAAAGAACCCTGGGGGCACAGCTTTGAGGAAGATCTGTGAAGGGAAGATCTATGGGCTCTTTGAGGTATGAAGCTTGAGAGCTGAATATGGCTAGAGGAAGCACCCTAGATAAAAGGTCACTCCCAAACCCAACAGTACCCTTCTTGTTAGACATGCACAAAGGTCATCTAGTCATCTGAGTGCCTTTCACTTTCTTACCCTTCATTATGGGAATCAAAGCCATGGACTAAGAGGTGCAGATGACATTACCATAGGACCAAGTCTGACTATGCTAGGAATCAGGGGGAAGACTCATTGTATCTCAGCTTTTAGTCCTAGGTGGTTCAGGTTCCTGGGACAGGTGTGCTAACCCCTAACTCTACATCTGGGAATCAGGAAAGAAGTGAAGACCCACATTCATGGGCACAGGGCATATATTTTAAGGAAGAGAATCTCAGACTTCAGGACAAAGGGATCCCCCATCGAAGCCTACCCTTGCTCATAGTGTGGGGAGGCCCCTACGTGGAATGACCAGCCTGGTAACGCCTGACTTCCATGTCTGAGTCTGAGAGAAGGTACTGGTTAGGTGGAAGGAGCAAAGCCTCAGGTGAGCACAATAAGGGACACAGTAGAAATCAGGTGACACATGAGGAAGGCCAGAGTGGTCCAGGTCCCCAGGACACATGGGGTACATCCCTGCCTCCATTGTCAAACTGAGACATTTCCTTCATGTGATCTGTCCCTGCAAACTAACCAGAAGACTCGGGTCTTCAGAGGGAGAAGTTCCTGTCTAGAATCAAGGGGGAGAATTCAGAGAGAGGAATGAAAGGTCTTGCCACCCAGATCAGAGACCTCTACCTTCCCATAAACCTAGGGAGTCCCTGAGCATAGCGAACAAATTCAGAGCATCTTCATTTCCTGTCTGAGGAATGTGACTTCCATTCAGAAGAGACCAGGGCGGGGTGCGGCGTCGGGGGAAGGGGGGCAATGAGGACCAAGAAGACACCAGATCCAACACATGGGACAACTGCCATTCCTGGCACCCCAAGGTGGCTTTAAAATAGGAACTTGGGGAAGACACGATTTCTCAGGCTTCCTGCTCAGTGTTGGGGTGGGGCTTAAGGAGACATGGTGGCCTTGTGCCTGCAAGGTACATGTATAAGTCAACACAGGAAAAGGACCGGGCCTTGTATGGAATAAATAGGAATATATTTAGGATATTCCAGACAAAAGAAGACCCCAGAAACTTGCTCCTTCCTTCAGCCTAGGGAAACCCCTGCAGAGGTGTTCAAATGAGCTATATCCACACTTCTGTCTCCCAGGTCTCAGGACCTTGAGGCCTTGAAATCAGAGGAAGCATCAGGAAAGTGGAAAGGACCATATCTGGTCAGCAGAGGGAGGTGTCCAGGATCTGCCAGGAGTGAAGGTGAGGAGAGAGGGGATCACCCTCACAAAAGCACATGGGACTCCAGCCCCAACCTTCCCCTTTTGTTAGCTCTAGAAAAATGTAATGACTCTTAATGGATTGGCCTCCCTGCACTTCGTTTTCCAGTGTGTGACAAAGGCTGTGTCTTAAATAGTGGACTAAGATCCTCAGGATAGAGTTCCATACCTTGCCATCTACCAAGATGAGGACTGAACAGGTCTCACATCTACATGGCTTCCAATGAATCTTTCCACTGCTTTTAGTCTCTCCTGGGAGGTGTAGCAAGATATAAGGTCCCTTCACTGCCTTTTGTTTTATCTTAGGGAGGAGGACCTTTGTTTTGAAAGATTGCCTCAAGCCATCAGAGGAGAGGGTCCTAGAACCTTTAAGGTGACAATTGGCGTCCAGGGTGAACACAGAGGAGGCCTTCTATCCCCCAAACAGTGAAACTTCACCTTGCCTCAGGAAGGGACAGAGAGAGAGAGAGAGAGAGAGAGAGAGAGAGAGAGAGAGAGAGAGAGCTCTCAGTGCCTTTCCCACAAGCTTCAGGGACCAGGAATTAAGAAAAAGGTCTAAAGCATCCTCAGGTCACAAAGGAGGAGGTGCCCAAGAAGGGTCAGGTGTCTAGGTGAGGTATATACCCTGAGTGTTTACTAAGTGTCCCCCGTATACCAGAACACACAAAATCCCATAGTGTTCAACCCCACATGCCCTATTAGTTGATGCAGAGCCCCAAGCTCTATCAGCTGTCTATATCCTGAGAAGCAATTTCAATTCTCTCAAGCTCTCAGAAAGATAGGAGACCAGGTGGAAATAGAACACTATCTAAAGAAAAAAAACATTAATAAGCTTTTGTGTGTGTATGTAGGTGGGTATGCCATTCCTGGGACTTGAACTCAGGGCCTGGGCACTGTTCCTGAACTTTTGTGCTCAAGGCTGGCACTCTACCACTTGAACCACAGTTCCACTTCCAGTTTGGGGCCTTTTTTGTTTTTAATTTGAGATGAGAGTCTTACAGACTTTTCTGCACAGGCTGGCTTTGAACTGTCATCCTCAGCTCTCAGCCTCCTGAGTAGCTAGTATCACAGGCATAAGCCACTGGTGCACAGCAACAAGCTGCTTTTTTTTTGTAATAGGCCTTTTCAAGAGCTGCCAAGGATGTGGTTCTCAACTGAGTCCACTCACATGCTTCTTCTCTCCCCTAGGCCTGTGAGTTCCCATCACTGAGTACCTGTCCAAAGTCCTGCCTGCAGTCTCCAGGGAAAGCCATCATGCCTCATAGTAAGAAGAACCAGCAAGACAATGAGGGAAGCCCTAAGGCCAAAAGAAAGGCTCCAGAGCCTGGCCTGGTGAATGGGCTAGACCCCAAGGAGGAGGAGGAGGAGGAGGAGGAGGCCACTGCCTGTGCCTCTTCCTCTTCTTCGACTCTGATGCTGGCCACCCCAGAGGAGGGGACTGCTTTTGGGATACCATGTGATCCCCAGAGTCCACCAAGAGCTTCCTCTCCCCCTACTGCCTTGGTCTCTAGTGTAGAGATAGAGATGGAATTTGAGCAGGGCTCCAGAAGCCAAGGATCCGAAAATCTGTTATTCCACCGCAACATGTTAGGTCCTTTGTCCTTGCTGCGTTACTCAATTTCCTTGGTGCCCTTCTTGCTCCTCAGATATCAGATGAGGCAGCCAGTCAATAGGGCAGAAATTCTCACTCATGTGGTCAGTTGTCACCGTAATTTCTTCCCTGCAATTTTCAACAAAACCCGTGAGTGCATGAAGCTAGTGTTTGGCACTGAAATGAAAAAACTAAATACCATCCACCGCTCCTATATCCTTGTCCCTGCTGTGGGGCTCACATATCATGGGTTGCGGAGTGATGTCCCAGGAGTGCCCAAGACAGGCCTTCTCATTATGGTCCTGTGCTTCATCTTTAGAAGTGGCAATCGTGCCACTGAAGAGGTGATTTGGGGAGCACTGTGTAAGATGGGGATTTGTGTAGAGAGACGGCACTACATCTATGGGAATATTAGGAGGTTAGTCATGGGAGATTTTGTGCGATTGCAGTACCTGGAATACCGGCAGGTGCCCCATGCTAATCCCATTGTCTATGAGTTCCTGTGGGGCCCCAGGGCTCGAGCTGAAACCACCAAGATGAAAATCCTTGTGCACTGGGCCAAGTTCAGTGGGCTTGATCCCAGGGCCTTCCCTATCTTATATGATGAGGCGTTGAGAGAGGAACGGCGTCGCCAAGCATGAGTTGTAGTCGTGGCCACAGCAGCTTCTCTGGCCCCATTGGAAATGAGCCCCAGTTTTTGTTTTCCTGTTCTAGTTAGGTGACTATGAAATTCACCTTTGTTTCCTCTGTAATTTTTCAGCTGTTCCTTATAATTGACAGTTTATTTGCTTTAAAATGCAAAGTTAAGAACAATGGTAGCCATACATGTATTGCTGTAAATATAATTCAGGTGTGTCTCTTGCTAATTATTCAATCAGTGGGAAGACTGTTATTTTGTCACTTGGAATAAGTTAACATAGCAGTCGACTATTTCCTTGGAAATGGGAAACGAGTCAGTAGTAAAATAGATGGTCTAAAGAAATGGAAAATTCTTTTGTCTTCCCCGTAACATTAAAAAGATGTTGGCTTGGATTGGCTTGACTGTTATTTGAGAATATAAGTGACATTTTTTCTCAGTAGGTCCTCCAACTCAGTCTATTCTTCAAACCTCCACTGAACGCTTGCTCTCTAAACTAGGGTCAGTTGGGCCCATATTTACCCATAGTACCCTGGGGTCTAGGAGCAGTAGTTATATCAGGGAGAGATGGAGATGTCTTCTAAGAGAACACATGGAGGAGTGGTGACGAGTTGGCGTTCTAGGACAGCAAAACCCAGTGTTAATGCTCTGAGCCTAAAACATTTCAAGGCTTCAGAAAACTGCAGTTCCTTCCTTAGGAGCTGATGATTATGAAGCTGAGTGGTAGCTGGGGCCAGATCCTCAGATGGTATGACTTAGGCCTGAGAAAATGGGAAATAGCTCTACACAGTTCCTTTTGGATGCTGAATAGGCACAAAGAAAATTCTTCCTGGTGCAGATGTACACAGTGTGGCTGAAAGCAGCACAATTCAGCTAGATGAAGTATCTGTTTCATTTGCATGGATTTCCTGAGAAAGAAGGGCAAATTTCTGTGGAAGGATGCCTAGGAGGCCCTGGTCATGTGCTCTTCTTTCAGGCTGAGATGGCCAGAACCAATTATTAAAATGACGTTTTAAGCTAGGTACTGGTGGCACATGCCTATAATACTAGCTACTCAAGAGGCTGAGATCTGAGAATCACAGGTTTGAAGCAAGCCTGAGCAGAACATCTGTGAGACTTTTTATCTCTAATCAATCACCAATAATCCAGAAATGAAGGTGTGTCTCAAGTGCTAGAATGCTAGCCTTGAGCAAATGAGCTCAAGGGCAGAGCCCAGGCCCTAAGTTTAAGGCCAGGACTGGCAGCTTCAAATCACAATCCCTAAATCTCAACCTCCTGAGTAGCTAGGATTTCAGGCATGTGGCTCCAGCACTATGTTCTTGGACATAATTTCTTAAGAGTGCAATAAACTAGAGAGTGAGATCCCAGAATGGTGGAGCTACTTCAGGAGCATGGGCCCAAGTAAGTGGTATTAGTTAGCTCGGCCATAATTCTGGTGAGCTGGTAGGCAGTAACTTGGGTCAAGAGGTTTCCTCCTGGAGGTGCACAGCCAAGCCTCCAGCTCTGTCAGCTAATGCTGCAGGGCCACATCTGTGGGTGGGGCAGCCAGGATTCTCAATTCTAAGCCTGGAAGCTCTCTCAGTGAGGGAGGGGCTGCTTCCAGTGAATAGAGGCTGCTAGGGAATAATTACTCATTCCACCCAAGGTTTGTGTAGGGAGCTTGCCCTGTTCTCCCAAGTTTATCAAAAGAGGTGTTCAGCCTTACAAAGCATGCCCCCTCCCCTCCCTCAAGTAGCCCAGTGTCTGTGTATAAACTATTGAATGTGTGAGAAATGGGGGCTCACTGGTAGCTTATGCCTGTAATCCTAGCCACTCAGGAGGCTGAGATGTAAGGATTGTGATTTGAAGCCAGCCCGACCAGGAAGGTCCATGAGACTCTTATCTCCAATGAACCATCAGAAAACTAGAAATGGAGATTTGGGTCAAAGTGATAAGAGTGCTAGCCTTGAAAAAAGAAGCTCAGAGACAGTGCCCAGGCCCTGAGTTTAAGCCTGAGGACTGGTACACACATACTTTATACACACACACACACACACACACACACACACACACACACACATATATATATATATATATATATAGGGTATAGTATATATAAAGTGTGTATATATATATATATATATATATATATCACATGCGTGTAAAATGTAGGGGAAATAATAAATATAAGAACAATAGAATGAGTTACTGATGCTTGGTACAATAGAAACACCAGAGAAGGACAAGTGAAGTTGTAGGCTAGTCACTCATTAGAGGGTAAATGTAAAAAGTTGAGGATCTCCCTACTTACAAAGGAACTCTTTTTCAGTCAGAAGCAGACAGGAAGAGCCTACTTTGAGATTCAGCACGTAATTATGACAAAAGGAGGTTAAACTCTAAATCTTGGGATGTTGATTATATGAAGGTCAGGTCCCTGATTGGGATTCTGGGACAAGAAGAGGCACCTCAAATTACATACTCAAGTATCTTAATTGCTCAACTTTCTCTGAATCTTCTAGGTTTTCTAAAGGAGGAAATTTCTCTCTGTTTTAAAAGAAATAGCTCTCTGCTTTGCATGAAAAGCTAGAACTCCCTCAAGATTGTTTTTAATGGCTTTCCCAAAGCAATAATGGGTTAAGAGATCATAATAGATTCAGGAAAGGCTGGATCTGCTCACAGTGATACCATATTCCTATACGGTCTAGTCAGCATATACTACCAGGTGCTGTGAAGAACTACAGAGGACTGGGTTCTAACAATGGTCATCACTGGAGACGCCATCACATTGAAGAAGGGAGATTTGTTGGCATGGAAGTACTCCCACCCCGTACAGATTTAAGAGCTTGACATAGCCCCTGATAAAGTGTTAACATATTATCTCAGCATGGGTTTCAAAACCATGAAGAAAGTAATGGTCCTTGCTAATTGAAGTATAAGAACTATCAAGATAGACAGTGGAAGAAAGGACCAAAACACTTTCAAGAAATGGACAAGGTAATGTAGTTACCTTCCATTAGGCTAGAGCCTCTCCTCCCGCCCCCGCCCCCCAAATAGCTATGGGTTAGGGAGATGATGGCATTCGGTTTATGTTAAGACAAAATTCATGAGGGGAAAACAAGAAACATCAAAAAATCAGTTATGACTATTGAGGTCAAGGTAGCCAGTGAAGTATACTGCTACAGAATTGGTTCTCCATTAACAATAATAAGATCTCACAATAATAGAGATCAGAAACCACCATAAGCAAGATGGGTCTATAACTAAGAGCAAGCACCAGATTCATAGCAACCAGAGATCTACCTTTAAGAGGGCAATCGAGCCATCTACTACAATGAAGATTTCTCAGTGGCAGATACCAAGGATGTTGCTCTACCTGTGTGACCAAAATAAATCTAGTATGGATTATAAGGAAAATTAAAGGACATCTCAATAAAAAGCCGTTTCTGGGATCTCAAGCAAATTATTCAAGTTAATACCTGTTACAGTCCGCATTGATTTGCAGAGAAACACTACTTAGCTTTAGTGTATTTGTCATGATCTTGGGAGAATTGCATGTACTCTGGGTCTTCTAAGACATAATTTTTATGGTCTTTTGTACTTAATAGATGCATCTAAATCTATCCTTTGTAGCATACTGATTTGAATCCCTTCATTTAGTGCTGGTTAAGCAGCTAGGCCTTCATATGTCCTTTGGTGCTGGTCACCACATTTTTTTTAATTTTTATTTTTGTCAGTCATGGGGCTTGAACTCTGGGCCTGGGCGCTGTCCCAGCACTCTTCAGCTCAAGGCTAGCGCTCTACCACTTGAGCCACAGCGCCACTTCCAGTTTTCTAGTGGTTTATTGGAGATAAAAGTCTCACGGAGCCGGGCGCCGGTGGCTCACGCCTGTAATCCTAGCTACTCAGGAGGCTGAGATCTGAGGATCGCGGTTCAAAGCCAGCCCGGGCAAGAGAGACCGTGAGACTCCTATCTCCAATAAACCACTAGAAACCGGAAGTGGCGCTGTAGCTCAAGTGGTAGAGCACTCGCCTTGAGCTGAAGAGCTGAGGGACAGCGCCCAGGCCCAGAGTTCAAGCCCCACGACCGACAAAAAAAAAAAAAAAAAAAAAGTCTCACAGACTTTCCTGCCCGGGCTGGCTTTGAGCTGTCATCCTCAAATTTCAGCCTCCTGAGTAGCTAGGATTACAGCATGAGCCCCCCCTCCCCCCCATGCCTGGCTTTGGTCACCAGAGTTTCTAAGCCTTAGAGCACCACCCCAGCTGAGATTTTTCTCAACCTTTGGGTTTCTTGTCAGGGTTAAATGCCATGTCTTGAGGAACCAGTGCCAGTTCAGTAGATAGCTAGTTATTTCATGTTCCAGCCCTCTTAATAAAGAGCCTCAAATCCCAGTCCCAAGTATCACTTTCCTGATCTCTCACTTCTCCTTCGTGACCTACTTTTGTAGCTCATCCAGGGTGCCATATTTTTCTCCTTAACCAAACTTAAGCTTTGCCTAGTTATTTCACTTGGATTTCACTTTAATTATTGGCTTAGAAGGATGAAGACAGGTCTCTAAAGAGCTATTAAGTATAAACTAAATGCTAGCTCTAACTATGAAAGACTGGTATGGCTCAAGTGGTAGAAGGACTGATTGGAAAGTGCAAGGCTTTGAGCTGAAAGTCTAGTATCACCAAAATTAAAATTAACTGGTATTCTTACACAGTATTTTTATTTTCACATTCTGGTGACCCTATTCTAAGGACAGAATTAGAGGTTTTATATGAGTACCCACAGAATAGTTACCTACTTGCTAACACTTATTTAGCTATTGTCCTTGTCTTTAAAAGAGACAAGTAGTGACTCCTTATTATAATTTTTTAAGTAAACCAATAAGCCACTTGGATGCCTATTGATCACCTTGAGCCCCTTCAAAGCTACATGGGGGTAATGATTCATCTTGAGTAAAGAAATGGAAATTCTAGATATGGGTTTCTTTCTTCGTCTGGAGCCTCTACCAAAGCTGGGCCTCATCCAACATTTCTAGG